TGATTTAGGAACAAGTGAGGAGCTGCTGGGTGGATTGGAGGGGAATTTACCTTCTCCTTCTTGGACAGGAAGAACAGAACATCCTCATAAATCTCCAGGCGGTCCCGCTCGGAAATGGCATTCCACACCTCCATCTCCCCAAACATCTGTTCAGCTTTTCTGGGCAGAGCACAGCAAAACCACACCACTATTTATTCATTTATTTATAAATAAATAAATTTATTTATTATTTATTAATTATTATTATTGGTGGCTGAATTATCCATCAATCCCCCAGATCATCAGGGAGAGTTCTGTTCCAAGAAGGAATAAATTTATAGGAATTCTTGATTTTCCCCCTTGGAAGTTTTTTTTTTTTTTGCGATATATTTTGAATTTTTTTATAAAGGAAGAAAAAAACTAAAAATGGAAGTTGATGCCACTCCAAGCAGTGTATCCATGAGGATTTGTATCCCAGATTTTTATCCCAGGTCTCTTACTTGTATCTGGTGGTGGATGTCATCTTCTCATGGTTTTCCAGGAAGCGCTGGAAGGATTCCTTGGCTTCCTTGTACTTGGATCTGGCTTCTTCCTTCTCCTCCTTCTCTGTCTGAACTTTGTAGGCATTAAAGGCCTGCTTCTTTTCACTCAGTTTTGCCAAAGCACTTCCCAGGAAAGGAAAGAAAGAGCAATGTTATTTATGAATAAAATAAAAAAAATCAGGAAGACAAAGACAATCAGAAAAATCAGAAAAAAAAATCAGAAAAAAATGAAAGAAAATCGCAAAAAAAAAAGAAAAAAATCAAATAATCAAAAGAAAAATTCAAAAAGAAGAAAACCAGAAAAATAAGAAAACTGAAAAAAAAAAAAAGAAAAGAAAACTGAGGAAAAAGAAAGAAAAGCCAGAACAATCAGAAAAGGAAAGTAAGAAAAATAACTAAGAAAATCAAAACCAGAAAGCAAAAGGCAACAGGTTTGAATAATCTAGATTTGAGATAAAATTAATCTGAACATTTTAATCCCCAAATCAACAAGAAATCCCAACTTCCACACTTTTTCCCAATACCAACGAAGCTGTTGGAAGCATTTCTGTATGGAGGAAGGAAGCCAATCCCTGCCAATGGCACAAGTGCAGGAGGATCTGTTGCTGACAGAACTTTACATTTTTGGAAGTAAATTCTCTAAAAAAGGTTTGTGTGGAATTGGAGGGCTCAGTACCTGTATCTGGGGTCATTAATGATCATTTTCATGGCCTGCTCCCAGGAAGCATTGGATGGAACCCGCTGTGAAAACAGGAAATTATGGATGAATCAGACCAGGAATTAACATCCAACAAGGAATAATTCCTTAAAAACAGCCAAGGGGAAAAAATAAAATATTCTTTTCATTGCAATGTCCTTTTTCTTTCATTTCCTCAAGAGTGAGGAATTCTTCCCCAAAAAAACAAGTAAAACCTGGCAAATAAAAAAAAAAACAACCAGGTTTTGTAGCTCAAGAAAACATTAATCATTGGTCAATAAAATATTAATAATTTAATTATTTTATAGATAAATAAAATAGATACCTTTTCTTTTAACAATTCTTTAAATGCTTGTTTGGCCTCTTCCTTTGTGTTCCACGTGTAGGTTTTTTTAACTGGTTGTGCATCCTCATCCTCCTTCTTTGCAGTAGCACTAAAGCAAAACAAATTTTAGTATAGCAGAATTTTTTTTCTAAGTTAGAGGCACTGAAGAGTCAAAAACCACCACAAAATGAGTTTTATAAACAGCAACTTCAAATAAAAAAATAATTCTAATAATTCATACAAGGGTTTTCCTTACACTGACCGCCTGCTAAGGTTATCTAGAAATTATCCCTAAATATATTGTGTTGAAATTCAGCAGGAATATTAACATTTTATATAAAAATATAAAAGAAGTGCATAAAAAGGCCTCTTCTCCTTAATTACGTTCTGCTGTCTAAAATCCCCCACAGCAACTCTTTTTTTTTTGAATTATAAAAATCCTAAGTTATAATTTTCCACACAATAGATCTTTCATTATTTAAAATAAAAAGGAATCGTAGCTGGAACAGATAAAAATCCCTTGAGTATTTTATTTTCTACCAGCGATAACCAATGGCACAGATCCATGGAAAAGGAGAAGAAATAGGGAAGTGTTTAATGGCACCCTGGGAAATTCTTACAGACACTGGGAAATCCATGGAATGTTCTGTCACTGGTGCTGCTGAGAAATGNGAGCAGGGGCCTGTTTGGGATTTTGGGAATGTTCTCCCCAGGGAATTCCCATCCTTACATCCTCCCAGACAGCATCCAGCTCGATGGGGGGGGTGGCCTGTTTCAGCATGCTCTTGAAGGCCGATTCCTTCCTCTTCATCTTGCGGGCCTCCTCCTTCTCCCGCTCGCGCTCCCGCGCCTCCGCCTTCTCCAGCAGCTGCGGCAATGAGAGCAAAGAATTCCATTTATTGGGATTTCTGCACCCTCAGAGCTGTGTCTGAGTCACTTGGGAATGACAAGGAAATTTACTGCTTTTCCTCTACTTAATTAATAAAACTATGGTATTAAATTATTTTATCAAAAATTAATCAGTTATTTCTTTTCCAAGCATGGAATTGCTGTTGATGAAAATCCAATGATGCAAAATTACAGAACTACACAAATCAGGAGAAATCTTATGTACAAAAGGAAAGCATCAGAATTCCTCAAGTTTGGGAATGCTGACTGCTTGGATAAAGGTTTATTTTTACTATGGCAACTGAAATAACCCTAAATAACAGAATATTCCTCAAATATTATGGAATCAGTTAGAAAATAAACCCTAATTCCTGTTTGGAGAAGGGATTTCCCATCTTAATTATCCAGATATCCCAATTAATTAATTAATGAATTGATTTATTAATTCATACTTACACTGTTGAAAGCCAGCTTGATATTCCCTGCATCCAACGTGGTGGCTCTTTTAGTGGAGCTGATGACAGTGACAAAATCCTCAAAGGAAGTGTTCACCTCCACCACAAACCCTTTATCCTAGAAAAACCAGCTCTTTGGTGTCAGGGAAATCAGGAATTCCTTCAACTCCAAGGAAACCCCAGCTCCCTTGGATGGGAATTGTGCCATTCAAGGAGGAGCCAGGCAATGCTCACCTTTAAGATGTCTTTAATTATCTTCTTCTCATCGTGGTAACGAGCTTTTAAATCCTCCACATAAAACTTGAACAGGTCCAGCGCTGTTGATCCTGAGGGAGGGTTTAGTGAAGCCACAGGTCAGGTTTAACCCCAGAGCTGCATTTTGAGGTGATAAAAAGCAGGAAGCATTGCTGTGGCCCCAAACCATCCCAGGTTTGCCCTCCTTACCAGGCTGGCCCAGCATGCTGGTGAACCTGATGTCGGAGCTGATGGCTGGGTACAGCTCCATCCAGGAGGACATGGAGTGCAGCTGCCCGTGCTCGTGCAGCTCGTCCAGAAACAGCTGCAAAAAAACACAGGGAAATGGCAATGTGGAGTCATTCCTCCTCCTTGGGAACTGGGATTCCACTTTTGTTCTACAAAAATCCCTTTTTCTGTTGTTCTTCCTGCTTTTCTCCACCGCCTGCAACATTCCAGCTGCACCTCCTTCCCATCCGGGTCTATTCCCCCTGATTTTCCCTTGTGTGTGACACAGCAGAGAAAATGCCACAACCCAACACTTCAGGCTTT